AACTAGGAACTCATTGATAATTTTTTAAAAAATTATATGTTTTTCTTGATTTCAGAGAGAGGAAGGGAGAGGGAGAGGTAGAAACAGCAATGATGAGAGAGACACATCGACTGGTTATCTCCCACATCCGCCTAGACTGGGGCCAGGGATCGAATCTGCAACCGGAATACATGCCTTTGACCAGAATTGAACCCAGGACCCTTCAGTCTGTGGGCTGAGCAAAACTGGCTAGGGCTTGCCCTTGTTCTTTTTTTTTTCCCAGAGTGAAAAGGAGAGGGAGAGAGAGAGATAGAAACATCAATCAGCTGCCTCTTAAATGCCCCCACAGGGATTCGAACCCGAAACCAGGGCATATGTCCTTGACTGAAATCGAACCCAGGACCCTTCAGTCCACAGGCTCTGCCCATTGAGTAAAACCAGCTAGGGACTTCCCTCATTCTTGAACAACTTGTAGTTTTAGAGTAGAATTTGAGGATGACAGATTCTTTTCTCTACACTTTGAAGATAGTATTCTCCCCTCCTTTGTTGCTGCTGGGAAGGCTGTTTAATGATCATTTCTTTGGAGGTAATTTTTTCCCTGTGGTTTCTTTTAGGATTTTCTCATTGTCTTTGGTGTCATGAAATTCCGCTACAGTGCAGCATGGTAGGGAGTGTTTTCTATTTTTTCTGTTCACAAATCACTATGTCTAAGAATTTATATATTCATCAGTTCCGTCTGGAAAATTAGTAGCCGTTGAGTATTGCTTCTTTCCCATTCTCTTCTTCTGAATTTCATAATAGAGGTGTTTTACCTGCTTATTCTAGCCTATGTGTCTTGTTCTCCTTTTCTTATTTATTTATTTATTTATTTATTTATTTATTTATTTATTTTTTAAATATATTTTATTGATTTTTCACAGAGAGAAAGAGAGAGGGATAGAGAGTTAGAAACATCGATGAGAGAGAATCATCGATCAGCTGCCTCTTGCACACCCCCTACTGAGGATGTGCCCGCAACCAAGGTACATGCCCTTGACCGGAATCGAACCCGGGACCTTTTAGTCCGCAGGCAGACGCTCTATCCACTGAGCCAAACCGGTGCCGGCTCCTTTTCTTATTTATTTATTCCCTTCCTTCCTTCCTTCCTTTTTTTTTTTAGTGAGTTTATTTGAGCCAAACTGATGACAATTGCTGAGAAGCAAAATGTCAACAGACTGAGAAAGTGCTCCCTCATTTATTTTCAATCTTTTAAAAATCTCCTATGTTGATTCAGTAAATTCATCCAAAGTGAACTTAGAGGGGGATAGAAGGTTCTCCGGGAGGTGACTGTGTCTTAGTAAAAGCAAACTTTACTTAGTAGCAGTACCCTCTGCGGGCCCCAGCAGAACTCCCACCCACACAGCCACCTCCCCACCCCCACGGTTTTACTGTGCTTTCAAAAGACAACAAAGATGATTGTTAAAGAAATCAGAAGCATAGAATGACTTAGAGCAATAAATTGGCAAGTTAGCAGCAAGAACATCAAAAGATCACCAAAGCTGAGTAGAGGAAAAGGAAATTTTTTTAGTGTTCTCTAAACCCTAGGTGAAAAGACAGAGGCCCATTTCAATGACCCTCGTATTGCAACTGAACTCAAACTCAAACTCTCTGAATACTTTTCAAGACAACAGGCCTCGCCTCAATACTTCTCTCTCACCACCCATGCCCTCATAATTCAGGACTGTTCTTTCTTTCTTTTTCTTTTTTTTCTTTCTTTTTAAAAAAAAATATATTTCATTGATTTTTTACAGAGAGGAAGAGAGAGGGATAGAAAGTCAGAAACATGGATGAGAGAGAAACATCGATCAGCTGCCTCTTGCACACCAGAAGAGGAGACGGTGCCACTGGGGATGTGCCCACAACCAAGATACATGCCCTTGACCAGAATCGAACCCGGGACCTTTCAGTCCCCAGCTGACTCTCTATCCACTAAGTCAAACTGGTTTCAGCTCAGGACTGTTCTTAACCACATGAGGGGCAGGCCATGAGTGAATGGATTGATGAGGAGGGCAGTTGAAATGATGACCACATAGAGGTGGATTGCCCCTCCCATAACTAGATGATCACCACCTTCTAGAAAGAAAGCTGAATGTAGAAGCTACTGCCACCACCCAGGTCTCCTGAGAAGCAACCAAGGGGAGAGCAGGATGAAAAACCCAGACCGGGGGCCTCTGGAAGGCCCGACTACAGTCTGGGAGTCATACTCCTGCTGTGTAATGTTTCTGCAGCAAGAAAGCCAAGAATATCCAGGTTCTGGCCACACCTGGTGGGGACACGGGGCCTGCAGTGGGCAGAGCACAGGGGAGCCTGCTCAGGAGGGCCCTGCACACGACCTCCTCCCCACTTCCCACTCTCTGACCCCAAGGCATGGTCTGCAGACGGGGAGGAGCCCTGCCTGTGGGAAGACACAGAGTCCCGTGCTCTGCCCTCACCTACAAGCCATCTCCCCGGGCACCGTCTCCTCCTCTGTGAAATGGGGACACAAGGATCGCCCGTCCGCCCCACAGACGGGAGGCCGTTTTGAAAAATGTGCTGACGTGTTTTGTAGGGTGCCGTTCAAATTCAGAAATTGAGAAATATTCTGGTAAAACGTTGCTTTATATTCTCAGAACTGAAATTTTATTTCAGTAACATTTACTTTGGTATACGTGATTATGGTAAAAAAGCATTTTTTTAAAAATCCTATACTTTCCAGTTTTTTCCCCACACAGGCCCATGGAGCTGTGGCTTTAATGTAATACCAAGAGCGTTTCCAGTAGTGAATATTCTTCTGTGTCCTCGCTAATGCTTTGGAGCCATGGGTGTTTCCAGCGGGAGCTGGCCCCTGGTAGGTAAACTAGTTGGTTAGTGAAGGTAACCAGACTCTGGCTGGTGTTCCCCCCGCCCCTTCCCCCGGGTAGGCAGCTCCGCGGTGCTGTGTACAGACACCTTTCCACACCTGTGTGTGGCTATTTTCTCAGCAGCAGTGGACCTGCTAGTTCAGAGGTCTGACGGCTTTTAACTACTGGTACGAATATGTGGCCCAAATGGCCGGTTGAATGATGATCCTCTTGGACTAGTCCCCGCGCAGCCCCGTCCTCGGGCCCAGAGGGACCTGTGGGCTCGGCTGTCGCGCCCTAAGTCCAGAGGTTTGCGGCGCTAACCTACATCCCAGGCGCTGCGACCCCAGAGGCCAGTTGCCCCGGAGCAAGCCCTGGGCCGGCCTTCGGGTGGGTTTACGGGGCCTCGGGGCGCATTCCCATGCAAAGCGCCGCCCGGGTGGGGCGCAGCGGGGGCGGCGCCGCGCGGGGAGGGGGCTGCGGCCGCGGCCGCTTCAAAGCGCTCCGTGTGGGGCCTGGGGGGGCTGGAGGCCCGCCCAGGGGAGCCTCCTGGGCTGCGCCCTGCCCGCCGTCCGGGGAGGGGCGCTCGTGCCGGGCGCGCTGGGCAGGTGGGCACCCCCTCTTCCCTCGGGCCGGGCGGGGAGGAAGGGGTAGGGGGGTCCGGGGAGCGGAAGCCCCTTTCCGCGACCCCCGGCTCAGCCCCCCCCACCCCCCCGCCCCGGGGCCGCCCCGCAGCCCGCGGCGCCCGCTTCCCCCAGATCAAAAGTAACACCCTGCGCTTTCCCGCCGAGCAGAATTCCCCGGCCTCCACTTTCGATTTTTGGGCTGGGAGCGAGTGTCTTGAAAGAAATGAGAAAGTTAAGTTTTGAATCTGAAAGGGTTAAAACGGGCCCCGTCCCTCCCCCCAGTTCCACTATCACTGCGGAGCGCGCAGGGCAGGCTGGGGGAGGGGGGTGAGGGGGGGGTTGGGGGTCCTGGGCAGAGCGTGGCCTCACCCTGAGCTGGAGCCGCCAGACCTTGGGCCACACAGATCCCCCTCCTCTCCACCTCCCTGTAACCCCAGCACAGGGGGCAGCGGCCCCCCCCCCCCCACACACACACAGGTCCCCTCCTCAGCGGAGGTTGGGCTTGTGCAGAGGGTGTTCCTGGTGGAGAGACCCAGCACCCCAAGTCCAGGGCGGCAGAAAGGGCCTCAAATGGCTGACTAGCTGGCTCCAGGGTCCAGCCTCCTCACCCAGGGCATCAGCAGCCCCAGCCCACCTTGCAGGCACCTTCTAAGATATTTATTGGTTCATTTTTCATGTGTTCAACAAGGGTCTGCTAGATTCTCACTGTGTGCTGAGAAAAATCAGGAAATTTTTAAAACACTGCGGAATGCGGGACAAATTGTTAAAAATTGGGACTGTCCCGCCAAAAGCGGGACGTCTGGTCACCTTAGTGTAAACAGCTCACCGCCAGGCTCGGACCCCTTCCGAGGGCTCCACAGGGAAGACTGGGGTGGGGCGCAGAAAAGGCTGGCCCTGCAGGAAAGGCGATGTGTAGAGTCAGCAGGTCCTTGGCTTCCAGGCCCAGCTGGAAGATCTGCCGAACAGACCTCTGGACCCATTACCAGGGGCCTTGGAGCCCTCCCGCCCAGCGGGAGACCCGCGCCTCAGCAGAGGGAGGAGCCCAGGGTAAATTCTCCTGCCCATTGTCTCCCAGAGGGTCAGGGGACGCTTCCATTACGTGGAGGCTGAGGACTGATTCTCACAGTGTGGTCCCTGGTCCAGCAGCCTCACCTGGGAACTCCGATGCCCACACCAGACCTGCTGAATCAGAAACTCCAGGTACCTGGCCCTGCAACCTGTCGCTTTAAAAGCTCGCCAGGTGCTTCTCGCACACAATTAAATGTCAGCATCAGCGTTCTGAGGGAAGGAAGACGTTCTTTGCCCTTTGCCTTCAATACCTCCTGTCCTTGAGTCGAACCAGGCTGAGGGGCACATAAAAAGGATTTGCTTGTGATGGTGACAATCCGGAAACCGTGTGGCTCAGAGATGGAATGAGTAAATCACCCACGGGCATATATCTCCTTGGGAATACTGTGCGGCCATTAAAAAGAGCAAGGCGGGCTCCTGCCTTGAGCTCGTGTGCCGACGGCGCCGGAGCGGAGCCCAGCTGGTCGGGATGATGATGGACGTGCCGCTCGCCGTCTTCGCCAGCGTGCTGGGCCTGCCGCCCTTCCTGCTCGTCGCTGTCTGTTACTGCGTGGCCGTCCACAACCCCAAGAAGCAGGAATGGAAGTGGCACGCCCTCCACCCCGGGGTCCCAGGGCATAGTCGAGGCGAGACAGAGGGTGTGAGGGGCCTTCACCCTTCACTGCATCCCTTCCGCCCAGCACAGCCTCTGAAGTGACTACACCTGGGCTTTCCCAAGCACCGTGTATGTCTTCATGTCTTCCTTAACCCTATGAACAAGAAGCTGCCACCACGTAGGGCCCAGGATGGCGCCTGCTTTCTTTTCTACTCCTTCCCTCCCCCCCCATATAAAAATATAGATTGTTTTTCTTTTGTGGTCGAAACAAAACAAAAGAATAAGGTGGGTTTTCACACATCGATGTGCAAAGATCTCCACGATGGGCGCCATTAAATAATAAAGGAAGTTGCTAAGTGGTACGTAGAACTCAGATTTCTGTAAAGAGAAACCCATAAGCCCTAGCTGGTTTGGCTCAGTAGATAGAACATCGGCCCTCGGAGCGAAGGGTCTTGGTTTCGAATCCAGCCAAGGGCATGTACGTCGGTGGCAGGCTTGCTCCCCTGCTCTGGTCAGGCACATGCACTCAGTGTGCACTCGGGGTGGGGAATGAGGGGGCAGAAAGGCATACCGGCCTCCAGTGTGTCTGGTCCAGGGGAGCAGGCTGAGGTGATGTTTGTGAGCCAGGAACCTAGGAGGCGCTGAACTGGTTTGGGAACATATTACATGTCAATGTAGAGCAGTTGAACAAACATGTAGGGAAGGCCTACCCTGTGCCCGGCCATGTGTTCCCATTGTGTCCAGAGCCATAGACGGGGTAGCCGCTTTCCCAGCGGCCGCACAATGCAGTCAGTCTCCTAGGCCCCCCAGGCGAAGAATTCTAGCCAGGCACCTGCTGAAAAGCCCCACAGGCCACTCCCGCCCCAGGCTTCACCCCGAGAAACCCACTCAATGAGAGAGCCCAGAGGCCAGAAGAGAAAGAGCAATAAAGGCTGTTGTTGACATAAGAGGAAAAACCAGGCTTCCTGTTTGAACCCAGGCAGGTACTGGAAGCTGTGAGTAATGTCTGAATCTTGGCCTGCCCTTAAGACAGCCTGCGGTGGGGGCTCCTCACATTCGCTGTGAATCACTCACTCGCAGGGGACAGGGGGCCCGGCAGGGGCAGGCTGTGTAGAACCAGGCATGCAGCCGCCGCAGGGTGGGCAGCCACAACTCACAGTGCTCACGGCTCTCCACCACCCTCAACAAGGACCCAGCATCAGCTGATAAGGGATTCTTCAGTCCCCGTGCCCACTTGCCCCCGACAGCCAGACCATTCCCAGGTCCTTGGAGGCGGGATTGTCCCCTTTTGTCCTGCTTGGGGTCAGGCCAGTGCAAGATGGCACAGTGCTGGGGACTCACTCAAGACCGGGAATGAGGGCCTGCCCTGCACTAACTCCCTGGGAGACCTGTCCCAGCCACAGGCCCCTGACTGTCATGGGACCTCCTGTTGGAATAAAATGTGCACGCCATTTACAGAGGTGAAATACCAGACACCAGGCTAACGCCTTATCTCATTGAAGCCTCAGAAGAATATTCCTGGGTCATAAACAAGGAAACCATCCTATTCTAAAATGTGCAGAGTTTTCAACTTTATTGAGGAATAATTGAAATATACTAAACTACCCAGTATTTAAAGGGTACATGTAATAAGTGTGACATGCAATCATTGCCACAAGGACGCTTATCACCCCCAAAGTTTCCTCATGCCTCTTTGTAACCCATTCCCCTCCCCTCCCATCACAGGCCCAGGCAACCTGCTTACGGTCTGTATACATTCCTTTATATTTCATAGAGTTTTATAGAAATCAAACCATACAATATGTCCTCTCTTTTGTGGAGATTTTCTCTCCCAACATCATGGTTGTGAGATAAATCCATGTTGTTGCAAACAGCAATAGTTCATTCCTTTGACCCGCTCAGCACTGTTCCACTGTATGGAATACATTGTGGTACAATTTGTTTATCCATGCACTTGTTGGTAGACATTTGGGTTGCTTCCTGTTTTGGCCTATTACAAAAAAAGTTGCTATAAACATGTGTGTGCCTATGTTTTCATTTCTCTCGGGTAAATGTCAAGGAGTCGAATGTCTGGGTAATATCATAGATATTTGTTTAACTTTTTAAGAAACTACCAAGCGATTACAGTCCTATCAGCAGCTCAGGCACTTCCCATCCTTGTCAGCATCAGGTGTGGTCAGTTTTTTACTTAGCGGTTCTGATGGATAAGGTGGCGGTATCTCATTATGGTTTTCATTTGTATTTCCCTGATGACTGCTAATGTTGAGCATCTTTTCACGTGTTTATCAGCCATTTGTGTGTTATTTTGTGTGAAATGTCTATGCAAATCTTAACACCTGTGAACTGGCGATAAGTGGCTTAGTATAGATTAACTGGTAGGGGGTGTTTTTCTTTCTGGGTGGAACCTTACAAGGGATGGAGTCTTAGATTCTCAAAATACATGAAGTCATTTGCCCCTGGGTCATGCAATGGATGGGGGACAAAGTGTCCAACCTTGACCCTGTGCTTTTATTTATTTATTTTTATTTATTGATTTGAGAGAGAGAGGTAAAGAGAGAGAAATCAATTTGCATTTTCACTTATTTACCCATTCATTGATTGCTCCTTGTATGTGCCCTGCAGCCTTGATGTATTGGGTCAACGCTTGAATCAACTGAGCTACGTGGCCAGGGCTCTGACCCTGTGCTTTTATATAGTATGTGAGTCTACATGCCAGAGGACGGAGAAGTCTGTGTCAGTGTAAGAAACACAGACTGGGTTGTCCCACAGCACTGCTGCGCTCCAAGTGCCAGAGAGCCCGGAACAGCCAGAAGCTGACCCTTCTGGGCCAACCGGAAGCAGCAGCCACCCCCGGGCTTGTGGCCCAGCTGGCCTTGGCCCCGCAGGTGCCTTCCCTCACTGAGCCCTCCTCTGGCAAGGGCTTACCGGAACCAACTACATGCCAGGCAGGTGTGTGGAGTGGATGGTGCCAAACAGGATACACCCTCTGTCTGCAGGACTCAGTGCCCCGAGAGGGAGACAAGAGAGCCCCACAGAACACACTCCTGAGGCTGGGGGTGCTCAGGAGAGGAAGGGGTGGACCCAAGGGCTTTGTGAAGGGGACAGAGGAATCAGTGTCAGGTGGTGCCTAAGGTCTGGGCTTTTTAGTCAGGTGGTTCAAACCCTAGCTCCAGCCCTGACCAGCTGTGTTCTCAGGCACATGGCTTAGTCTTCGTTGCCTCAGTTTTCCCCTCTGCACACTCGGGGATAAATGATGTTGCAGAGGGGATTGCTATTCCCATTTTACAGATGAGGAAACAGAAGGTTAAGTACAATGTGTGGCCTTAGCCGGTTTGGCTCAGTGGATAGAGCATCAGCCTGCAGACTAAAGAGTCCCAGGTTCAATTCCGGTTAAGGGCTCATGCCCAAGTTGCAGCCTGGACTCCCAGTAGAGGGAGTGCAGGAGGCAGCCGATCAGTGATTCTCTCTCATCATTGATGTTTCTCTCTCCTCTCTCTCTTTCTCTCTCTCCCTTCCTCTCTGAAATCAATAAAACTATTTTTTAATTTAAAATAAATAAATACAATGTATGCAGAGCACTTGGTTCAAGGAGGGATATAAGGACATCCCAGGAGGGGAACTATATGATCCAAGGTCTGGGGTGTGGGCCCACAGTAAAGGGCTGATGGGAAGTTATTCCCTGCCGTCTCCTCAGAAAGCCCGTCTCCTGGAATGCTGCCAGGAGTCCCCTGTGGGCCCCAGCGCCTGGCAATGGGAGATGCACACGGTAAGGAGGCCCAGAGGAGCAGGCACTCCAAACCCAATCCTGGAGCTCTGGCCGGCATCTCAGTCCCCTCCAGGATGGCACAGTAGGGGGCCCTGGGCCAAATGGGCTGCCTATAAGAAATCCCACAGGTCTGCTCAGGTCCTGGCCAGCACCAGCTTGCTAGGGTTTCTATGGCTGGCACGTCATCCTTTTGTACCTCGATTTCTCCATCTCTCAAATGGGATATGAAAACATGACATGCCTGCCTGCCCACCCCATAGAGCTGTGGCCAAGATCAAATAACTTGCTGAAAGGTATGTGAAAGTACTTTGAAACCTATACAATGTTATGCTTATGCAAATCCAGGGTAATTCGTAGAATCACAAGACCATGGACTGTCACGTGTGGCAGGATCCTAAAGAGCTTTTCTATGACGCCTGAATTTTCCCGATGAAGAAACTGAGGCCCAGAGAGGTAGAGTAATTCCCTGGAAGTCACACAGCTGCTCAGCTAGGGGTCCCCTGGGGGTCCTAGGGCCTGGCCATCGGAGATGCACACGGTAAGGAGCCCCGGAGGATCAGACACTCCAAACTCAAACCTCAGTTCTTCCGATCCAGGCCAGCTCCAACAGGTCTGCCCCACAGGCTGGGACCTCAGGGGTCCCAGAGCACAGCCAAATCTAAACACGAAGTCAACAGCCAGCATGCTGTCTGCTGAGAGACTTGGGAAGCCACCAGTTTTGGTCCAACACATAGAAGTCTTTGCAAACGCCTGGTCTCTGCAGACTCCGGTATGGGACCGCCACTGACAACCCCTCCCTTGGCCTCGGAGTATTGTCTGCTGTCGCTGCTGTAGTCACTCTTCCTTATCCAAAAAGTGGGCATTGTTCACGCCTGGGGTTGGTGCTGGGCACCACAATGACACCAACCGTCTCCATCGCATAGGAGGTGAGAGAATGTGCTGTGGAAAGGCAGCCAGTGCTTACGCACGGGAGGGTCTGTTCCTGTTGTGATGTAATGGCTCCGGGGGTGGGCGGCCCTTGGCAGGTTCTAGACACGGATGAGCCAAAGGGACAGCTTCGCCTCAACCACAGGAGACGCGGCAGCGATGGCTGCAGAGCCAGCATCCCTCAGTCTCTCTCTGGCCACTGGACATCGGCCTCACGGAGTCTCTCCTCTTTTGTGTTGTTTTTTTCTTTTTTCTTGCAATTTTGTTATTATTTGGATATAGGAGATGGTCAGGAAGTGTCATTCCATCAGGCTACTGTCCATTCTAACTCCCAGAGTCTTTGCAGCTCAAGAAGACGGACGAACAGACTCTCAGCAACTCTTGCCTCTGGGGAAAACGGCTCTTTCTA